TTAGAAAGTGAAGTGTAAATCAGAATAAGAAACAGAAGGGAAAGCGAGAGGAGAGAGAGAGTGACAGCTAGACACAGAGAGGGAGTAAAAGCTAGGAAGAAAACGTAATAAAAAGCGAAAAAAGGTTTGAGGAAAAGAGTAAAGTAAGGCCATCATAATGGGAATGGAGGTTTATGAATCCGTGAGAGATAGAAACGACATGAGTAATTTGTGAATAGGAGGAGCTTATCAGAACGAGGCTGATGCAGCCGTAATGCTATGAAGGAGGAGAATAGAAAAGGGTAAATCTCCGATATACAGCGCGGACAATTAAACAGGCAGAAGGCGGGAAAACATATACGACTGGTAAAGAAGAAAGAAAAAGATAGAAAGTAGGTGTAAAGCGGAGGACGAAAAGAAACAATAAGAGGAGGCATATTATACGGTTGTGTAAGGCTAACATGAAAAGCAGAATGTATATGCGAGTGGGCACATCCAGCTAAGTAGATAGATAGAAGGAATGTTACAGATATAGATAAAAGAAAAAAAAATAGATTGAGAAGGAAACTTTAAAGAGATATAGATAAAAGAAAAAAAAAATTGACATATGAATTGAGATATGGGATAAACTTGGATAGATAGATAGATAGATAAAAGAAAGAAAGAAAGAAATTGACAGATAGATAGATAGATAGATAGATAGATAAATAGATAGAAGCGGACAGATTGAGATATGAATAAGCTAAGATAGATAGATAGATAGATAGATAGATAGATAGATAAATAGAGAGATAGATAAAAGAAAGAAATTGACATATTGAGATATGAGAAAACTAAGATAGTTAATGGAATACGTTTGCATACCTTGTAACAAGCTTATAAATTTATATATATGTGTGTGTGTGTGTGTGTGTGTGCGTGCGTGCATACGCGTGTGTGTTTATGTGTTTATGAGTATGTATGCATGCATGTGTTTGTGTATGAACGAATCTCTGCGTGCGTGTGTTTGTTGATGTTACCCCAGTGATTAAGATATATCAGTTAAAGTTAAGTTAAAAAAATACAATTTTATTCTTCATATATATATATATATATATATATATATATGTGTGTGTGTGTGTGTGTGTGTGTGTGTGTGTGTGTGTGTGTGTGTGTGTGTAGTTGTTGCTGTTGTTGCATTAATATACTTTTTATACATAAGATTTTAATTATCTACATATGCTTGTATACAAACAGGAGATTATTAATTTTCAAAGCTAAAGTCTACCAGGAAATGACATTTGTATGTCAAAATCCATACATAATTTTGACTTCTAATAAAAATGGCTTTCACTACCGGCAGGCCAAAAAAACGGAAAGGAATTACAAACTGAACAAATAGTAGAAATTCAGAAAAAGAACGTAAAAATGGACAATAAAGAAAAAGAGAGAAAACTTCGAATTCAGGGCGAAGGAAAAATGACAGAGACAAATAATATGAGAAAGAGAATTAAGTGAAGAGATAGAGAATGAAAAGAATAATAAAAAAGAATTTCAAAAGAGAGAGATAGAGAGTAAATGAAAATTTAAAAGAAAATAGAGTAATAAAAATTAACGAAGGGAAGAAGAAAAAGATAAAAATTTTACTATAGGAAAAATTCTAGAAAAAGAGATATCGAACGACAATGAGCTTAAGATTATATTTGAAAGAATGCAAAAAGCCAAATGTTGCACTGAATAACCCACTATAAAGAGAAAGCAAACAACAATCATCATCATCATCATCAGAAGAAGAAGAAGAAGAAGAAAGAAAGAAAGAAAGAAATAGTACAGAGAAAGAAAGAATCAACCAAGAAGAAGAAAGAATCAAAAAGAAATAAAGAGAAAAAAAAGAAAGAATGATAAAATAATATTAAGAAAGAAAGAACCAAGAATAAAGAAAGAAAGAAAGAAAGAAAGAAAGAAAGAAAAAGCAAGAAATAAAGATAAGAATAAAGAAACAAGCACTCAAACAATGTTAAGAAAAGAAAGATGGAAAGTGAGAAAGAAAAAACTTAAGAGAGAAAGAAAGAACCAAGGAAAAAGCATTATGAAAAATTAAGAAAGAAAGAACCAAAGAGAAAAAAAATCATTAAGAAAAAGAGAAAGAAAAAAAGAAAGAAGAAAAGGGAATGAAAAACCATTAAGAAAGAAAGAAAGAATGAATGAAGAGCCAAAAGGAAAGAAAGCAAAGAAGGAAAAAAAGAGCAAGAAAGAAAGAAAAAAGAAAGAAAAAAAGAAATAATAAAGCATACTAAAAGGAATAAAGGGCGAGAGGCAAAGAAAGAAGGAATCAAGAACGAAAGAAAGAAAAAAAGTTAATTTAATAATTGACAACCAAAAAAAAAAATGAATATTATGACAACCGATAAATGAGTACAAACTGTTGACAATAATATAAACTAATTTAATGTTTAATGTCGAAAATAAGAAATTATGTGATGAAGTGACTATATTGCCATACATGCCACATCTATCCATCTAATTGTACGAAGAGAGACATTTTTCTGATGCCCCAACACAAACTGAACAAAACGCATAAGTATCATTTCTTTCATTATTGTATTATCCAAAGAAGCAGTTCGAAGTATAATTCTTCATATTATGTTGTTTTACACTAGTTTGTTACGCCCTAAGATTGACTGACCAAAAGGACACCCACTTTGAAATCTAACAAATTCCCACCTCTTGAATAGGAATCATTTTGAAATGTTTATGTGATTAGTGTTCCTCTGGCTTATCCTATATTGAGTAATTATCAATAAGTAAACGAAACTATGAGCAAAATGCGTTAGAAATTTAAAGAAATTGATCACTCTTGTCATCTGTCAAGTTACACGGTATTTTTCTTCTAAAAAGTAAACGGTACATTCTATCTGTTCGCCCTTGTATCTGAAACCAATTTAACTTGGGCCGAACTTGATCTGCATAGACATATTATACCTTTTTGGTATCAGGATGATCCCGAGATTGAAAATATGCTCTTCATCTGATGCTTGAATATCCATTATTGGGATTTGTGTTCGGATGAGTAGGGAACAGTTAAAATTTCAAATTTTAAAATAACTGAAAATAATAGTGATTTTTTAGTGAAATTTCTCATTTATACTGAGTTTAAAGTAACACAAAACTGTGAATTTAAAGTTTTTGTTTTAAGTTCAGTTTAAAATATGTCCAAAAATTTGAGAATTGAGAAAGCCAATTTTATTTCTTCAAAATTCCAAGGAATCAGAGTTAAAGTGAAAGGTTTACAAGTCCCGCAGAACTCACCTCAGTTGAAGTTCGACGGAGTTTGTGATTTCAAGAACTCAATTTTCGGCATGATTTGTGATTTCGGCCCAAATCGTAGTTCGGCCCAAATCGTAGTTAAATCGGAGCCCCAAATCGTAGTTCGGCCCAAATCGTAGGTTCGGTCTAAATCGGAGTTTCGGCCCAAATCGTAGTTCGGCCCAAATCGTAGGTTCGGTCTAAATCGGAGTTTCGTCCCAAATCGTATTTTCGGCCTAAATCGGAGTTTCGGCCCAAATCGTAGGTTCGGTCTAAATCGGAGTTTCGACCCAAATCCAAATCGTTTCAGCCCAAATCGTAGGTTCGGTCTAAATCGGAGTTTCGACCCAAATCGTAGTTTCGGCCCAAATCGTAGTTTCGGCCTAAATCGGAGTTTCGGCCCAAATCGTAGTTCGGCCCAAATCGGTATTTTGGCCAAAACTAGAATTATAGCATTAAAGTGAGGTTTTGATGTTCCATGGAGTGAATTGAAGAATTCAAAGTTATTTCTTCAAAATTATCATTGCTGTTTTCTAAGCTGGACCATAAGTCCCTATAGTTTTGGGCCACATGAGTTAGCTTAAAAGTCTGCACGGACTATTTTTTGTAATAAACTAGATTTTGTAATAAAGGTCTCCAGTTTTCTATTTATGTATGATACTTTGCGGTAGATATTCCGCGCCTCAAGTTCCCCAAACATTTAACTTTTCATCCAATACAATGCCCTAGAGCCACACAAGGTAGAGTGTTATTGATTGATTTTGTTGCATGAATGTAAGAGGAGGAGCTGATGAGTATATGTAGAATAGATAACAGTAGACCCAAGACTTGAAATGGTTAAGATTATAGTGATCGGGAAAGTATCCTCTCGGGAGTTTTCCACAAACTGAATGAAACGCCATTCTTACTAATAGAATACGAAGGGAATGAGGATGATTCGTCAGAGTGTCATGTTACATGTCGGAGCTTAGCTATGAAAGTTTGAACCGGTTGAACTCATGAATGTAACTCATCAAAACAATTAGAACAAGGAAATAGCGATAGAATAATAGCGACAGGCTTGCAACGTTCTGCCTGCGTGAAAGGTGTTCTCAGGTGGAAAATAATCTCTAACCCACAAGACCGCGTAAAAGAGTTTGAACTCTGTCAAGACTAGGTACTGGTTACTATGTTTATTAAGTATTTAACTTAATTAGCATATTATATGAAGATGGGAATTCTAATTAAATACGTAGTCCTCGATCTTTTAAAATGGAAATGCCTTTCGTTAAATTTGAAGAATTACGATTTGCATGTGTACATAATTGTTATTGGCATCTACCTAATAGAATTCACTCAATGTAAAGTTAAACCCTCTAAGACGCAAGGGGTTACTGAGGCTGAAAGAGAATGAGAAGATTTTAGCGAGGAGGGAGAACAATAAAAGAACAAGATTTACGATAACAAAAGATAGTGATTGACGTTTTTTTGAAGATCATAGGTAGCAGAGAAGCATGAAAACGGAAGATAATTCCAAGCGGAAGAAAAGAAACTATTAGAATAGAATTTACGGTTACATCTTTTGCTATTTCAACAGTAAAACAATGCAACCTAATTGCCAATCAAGTAGTACGCTTAAATTCATGTAGTCCAGGTACCAAGAAGACATTGGCATGAAAATATTCATAGAAAAGACAGAGGGAAGACAACTAACGGATAGTGACTCTAAAAGCCGAGATGCCAGATCAGGACAGAAAACATTACAGACTCTTCGTTGAATTTTGTCGGGAATCTCAAGATAAATCGTAAAAACATCAACCCAGACATGACAGCAATACTTAATGCACGGAAAAATGGTAGCTTAGGAATTCCGGGTACTATAAGCTTGGATGTGCAGATGGTGTAATGGATAGCGGCCTGATACTGAAAATCGGAGAGCCAAGTTCCAATTCCAGTTGGATTCGTTAAATTTCAACTCGCTAATACACTTGGCATTATTATCTCCAAAAATTCTTACGATTTAAAAATATTTTCTGGCTTTAAATAACCTGAAAATTGCTGAAAAGCCGTAAAAAAAATCAATCAATCTCCTCCTATCCTTAAAAACTGTCTCCTAACGTAACCCTTTACCTTAAGTGGTCCCTGCCTGGTCTTGTACAGGGTGAACTTCACTGCAATACACACACACACACACATATATATATATACACGATGATGCATGATGTAAATAAATATTAATTGAATTCAATGAAATTATTTGCCACGTAATCGGTATGCCATAGTGAGCCTGAAAAAAACATCGTAATGGAAATTATGAGATTAAATGAATATAGACTACGTTTTTATAAATATAAATGTGTACATTGAGTGCTGCAGACATCTATATTATCAAACAATCAGAGCAAGAAACGTAAAACTTACACGAAAATTTATTTTGCTTTTCAAATTATGCACCATCTAGATAGCCTTAAAGTGACAATCTAACCATTATCTATCAAAGTCAAATGGTTTTAGTTAAAACAATTGCGAAGACGAAGTTATTAAAGCAAAAAAAAATGTCAGATCAGGATTTGACGAAAGATATCGTTTGCATGATCTCCAACCATGTTAATACTCTGTTCAAAAGCGTAAATAACGAACGTATTGGCAGCAACTTTGAATAATAAATTCGTCTATGCTCGCATAACTGTTTCACTTAAAATGCAACTCGAATATCTGAGCCGAGATGATTTTCTTGGTTATAAATAAATGAGTAGATATAAGGACATGACACTAGTTTGCTGAACTGTTCATTTTGAGGACAACTATCAAAAGAGATAAAAAAAGGCAATGTACACGTGGCTATCATGCAGTTTTTTTAATGATTTCGCCACTAGTAAGGCAATAAAGTAACTAATGCGCAAGGGATTAATGAATTTGAAAGAAAATGAGAAACACAAAACACACTATTAAGAAGAGTCAGTTAGCTGCCATACGTGATACGCGATCATGTCTCTTTCGATTCAAGAATGATTAGTTAGAAATTTTCCTATAGTAGATGACCGATACTTTCTGCGGTAGACTGCTTGCCAACCAATGCTATAGGAACCAGTCTTTCATCCTGTTGAACCCATAGCTGGGAGGAGAAGAGATGGATTCATACCTTTCCCAAAGGTATTTACCCGTAAGTAAATGCAACGGACCTGATTGGAATTCGAACTCGGATCTCCGATTTTCCATTCCGAGCCAGTATCCATTACACCACAAAAGGAGGGAAAGCAATAATGGAACAGGAATTGAGAAGAAAGAAAATAAAGATTGACGTTGCATTTAAATTTTTGAAGATCAAAGTTGACTAGAAAGCGAGGAGGCGGAAGTGAGGACCACAAGGAAGACAGCCAGCATAGAACTTACGGTTATATTTAGTCATTTCAACTGTAAAATGATGAGACCTTGCTGCTAATGTAGTTCTATGCTTAACTTCATAAAGTCTACGTGCCACAGCGGAAAGTTCATCAGAACAATCAGCATAAAAGTAAATATAGAAAAGGGAAGCTACGTTACGGCGTTGGTAAATTAAAATGATTAAAACAGTTAAAAGAAAATGATCGTGTGTTGATGCTAGTTGATGTTTTGTTAATGTTCTTTACACGTATGAAGGAGTATTGCTGGCATATCTTTGCTAAAGTTGTTCAATCGTCAATGCATTATTGAAAGATTAAAGATAGAGACTTCACCTCACAAATTAAATGGGATATCATCTGTCTATGTTTATTCTTTCAAACCTTATTTTAGCGGATATCCGTATTTGAGTAGTCTCTTCGTTTATTTTAAACAGTATTTATTTCATTCGGCGCAGCCTATTTATTAAATTATTACTGTTTAAAATAAATGAAACGTCTACTTCAATATGGGTATCCCCTGAAAATAACTTTTGAAGCAATGAAAATACGGTTGATTAGAAAATGAAATAAATTAATTCTTTAGAAACTACTTTGCTTATGTTTCGAAACTGGCAGATTAGTGTTTCGGAAAATCTGAACGTGTGAGTGTTCTTTTAAGGCAAAAATAGAATCGTGCTTGATTGTGTCACCTTTCGTAGCCGAGCAATAAAAGCACGCCAAACCAGGCGGTGGTTTTACCTGCAAAGTGGGGCGCGTGTTCGAATCCTGTCACTGGGCGCTTTCTCTTTATTTTGTTTTCTCTAGTACGCAGGCCGGTAAACGATATAAACATTATATAAAATAAACGAAGGGCCTATTCAGATACCGGTATTCA